ACGATCACCTCCAAATGCGACCAATTATGTAAGTGTATTTATGTAAGTGCGTTTGTACGTGTATGTTTGGGGGTCTGAAATGGACTAACGTACTTCACAATATTCCTTATGGGAAAAAATTCGGTCAGTACTGGCACCTGAACATACTTCTGGAATGAAAAAATATCGTTAACCGGGGGTCCACTGTATTCTTGTATGGTATTTATGGTTGTATTCTCATTTTCTTGGTCTCATTTGATAGAAGGGAAGATATATTACAGAACTAGAGATGATCTTGAATGGTTTATGGACTAAAAGTACCTTGAAATTGAGCTCAAAGTAGCGGAAATGTTCGATTTTTGCCGATGTTCAGGAGTAAACAAATCACGTCACACATCCAATATACATCAACTGGTGGGTCTAATAAGCTTTCACAATTTTTTTTTATTTTTTTTTTATTATCACACCGGCCGATTCCCACCAAGGCAGGGTGGCCCGAAAAAGAAAAACTTTCACCATCATTCACTCCATCACTGTCTTGCCAGAAGGGTGCTTTACTCTACAGTTTTTAAACTGCAACATTAACACCCCTCCTTCAGAGTGCAGGCACTGTACTTCCCATCTCCAGGACTCAAGTCCGGCCTGCCGGTTTCCCTGAATCCCTTCATAAATGTTACTTTGCTCACACTCCAACAGCACGTCAAGTATTAAAAACCATTTGTCTCCATTCACTCCTATCAAACACGCTCACGCATGCCTGCTGGAAGTCCAAGCCCCTCGCACACAAAACCTCCTTTACCCCCTCCCTCCAACCCTTCCTAGGCCGACCCCTACCCCGCCTTCCTTCCACTACAGACTGATACACTCTTGAAGTCATTCTGTTTCGCTCCATTCTCTCTACATGTCCGAACCACCTCAACAACCCTTCCTCAGCCCTCTGGACAACAGTTTTGGTAAACCCGCACCTCCTCCTAACTTCCAAACTACGAATTCTCTGCATTATATTCACACCACACATTGCCCTCAGACATGACATCTCCACTGCCTCCAGCCTTCTCCTCGCTGCAACATTCATCACCCACGCTTCACACCCATATAAGAGCGTTGGTAAAACTATACTCTCATACATTCCCCTCTTTGCCTCCAAGGACAAAGTTCTTTGTCTCCACAGACTCCTAAGTGCACCACTCACTCTTTTTCCTTCATCAATTCTATGATTCACCTCATCTTTCATAGACCCATCCGCTGACACGTCCACTCCCAAATATCTGAATACGTTCACCTCCTCCATACTCTCTCCCTCCAATCTGATATTCAATCTTTCATCACCTAATCTTTTTGTTATCCTCATAACCTTACTCTTTCCTGTATTCACCTTTAATTTTCTTCTTTTGCAACACCCTACCAAATTCATCCACCAATCTCTGCAACTTCTCTTCAGAATCTCCCAAGAGCACAGTGTCATCAGCAAAGAGCAGCTGTGACAACTCCCACTTTGTGTGTGATTCTTTATCTTTTAACTCCACGCCTCTTGCCAAGACCCTCGCATTTACTTCTCTACAACCCCATCTATAAATATATTAAACAACCACGGTGACATCACACATCCTTGTCTAAGGCCTACTTTTACTGGGAAAAAATTTCCCTCTTCCTACATACTCTAACTTGAAGCCTCACTATCCTCGTAAAAAACTCTTCACTGCTTTCAGTAACCTACCTCCTACACCATACACTTGCAACATCTGCCACATTGCCCCCTTATCCACCCTGTCATAACGCCTTTTCCAAATCCATAAATGCATCAAAGACCTCTTTAGCCTTATCTAAATACTGTTCACTTATATGTTTCACTGTAAACACCTGGTCCCACACACCCCCTACCTTTCCTAAAGCCTCCTTGTTTCATCTGCTATCCTATTCTCCGTCTTACTCTTAATTCTTTCAATTATAACTCACCATACACTTTTACCAGGTACACTCAACAGACTTATCCCCCTATAATTTTTGCACTCTTTTATCCCCTTTGCCTTTATACAAAGGAACTATGCATGCTCTCTGCCAATCCCTAGGTACCTTACCCTCTTCCATACATTTATTAAATAATTGCACCAACCACATCCAAAACTATATCCCCACCTGCTTTTAACATTTCTATCTTTATCCCATCAATCCCGGCTGCCTTACCCCTTTCATTTTTACCTACTGCCTCACGAACTTCCCCCACACTCACAACTGGCTCTTCCTCACTCCTACAAGATGTTATTCCTCCTTGCCCTATACACGAAATCACAGCTTCCCTATCTTCATCAACATTTAACAATTCCTCAAAATATTCCTTCCATCTTCCCAATACCTCTAACTCTCCATTTAATAACTCTCCTCTCCTATTTTTAACTGACAAATCCATTTGTTCTCTAGGCTTTCTTAACTTGTTAATCTCACTCCAAAACTTTTTCTTATTTTCAACAAAATTTGTTGATAACATCTCACCCACTCTCTCAATTGCTCTCTTTTTACATTGCTTTCACAAATGCGCTGATATTATTTATACCATTTTTACAATAATACAGTAGTCTGCATAACAGTAAGTCTTCTGTTTTTTGTGTGAATAAAAAATCAAAATGGACAGCAAGTGTAATATAAGAGGGGCCTGGAGACGTGACTAATGAACAGAGAAAATGTTATTTTAGTGCTAGGAATGTTTGCATTGTTAATTCTGGACCCTATTTTGAAATTGGCCTTCCTTGAATTGTGAATGAAATTGGCCAAAATTACCAATTTCTGATCACTTTATTGGATAGTTGAAATTAGTAAATGGGCGGTTTCTTGTACTCAATCAATAGAACGAAAGGAGTTCTAGTAAAATAGCTGAGTTTGGTTGACTGGAACAATGCAATTGGCCTAAAATAGAGCCGAAAGTGGGCAAAATCACCAATGTGTAAATATCGCCGAGACCACTAATTTCACGAGAGCACAAATCCATAAGTTTTCCATCATATTTCGTACTTTTGGTGTCATTACCATCAGGAAAAGATTCTCTATCATGAGTTTTTTTTTTTTTTAAATTCTTCAACACTGAGAGCAAGTTTGTGAGCAGGGACCTCAACAGTGAAAGGGTTAATCTATGATTTGTTGCAAACTGATTCAATGTCTCTAGTTTTATGGAATGATTGAAAAACATGGTAAAGATACAGGAAGTTACTTAGTTTCTTTATTGTTTTTTTTTTTCAACAAATCAGTAGTAACCTACCGAGGCAGGGTGACCTAAAAAAGAAAAACTAAAGTTTTTCTTTTTAGGTCAAAAACTAAAGGTTTTCTTTTTAAATTTAGTAATTTATACAAGAAAAGGGGTTACTAGCCCCTTTGCTCCCAGCATTTTAGTCGCCTCATATGACATGCATGGCTTACGGAGGATGATTTCTGTTCCACTTCTCCATGGAGATAAGAGGAAATAAATAAGAACATTAATTAGGAAGAAAATAGAAGAAACCCAGAGGGGTGTGTAAATATACATGTATGTACATGCATGTGTAATATGACCTAAGTGCAAGCAGAAGTGGCAAGATATACCTGTTATCCTGCATGTTTTTGAGACATGCAGGATAACAGCAATCCTTTCTTCTTCTTCTTTAAACAAACCAGCTGCATCCCACCGAGGCAGGGTGGCCGAAAAAGAAAAACGAAAGTACAGTGGACCCCCGACATTCGATGGCATCGACATTTGATAAATCCGACATTCGATGCATTTTAACGCAAAAATTTCACCTCGACATTCAATTGAAAACTCGTTATTCGATGCGATTCGTACGAGACGTGTCCAGTGTTTACAAGCCAGCCAGTGTGCGCGCATCTAAGGATACATTTGGCACATTCCTATTATCTACATTATCACTGTTTTTGGTGCTTGTTTCTGCAAAATAAGTAACCATGGACCCCAAGAAAGCTTCTAGTGCCAACCCTTCGAGAAAAAAGGTGCTAATGACTATTGAAATGAAGAAAGAGATAATTGCAAAGTACGAAAGTGGAGTGCGTGTGTCGGAGCTGGCCAGGTTGTATAGTAAACCCCAATCAACCATCTCTACTATAGTGAGCAGGAAAACGGCAATCAAGGAAGCTGTTCTTGCAAAAGGTGCAACTTTGTTTTCGAAACAGAGATATGTAAATGAAAAACAGATAGCAGGAGATAGCATCTCGCAAGTGATCATTTGTGAAAAGGCTAGGCAGTTGCATGATGATTTGGTAAAGAAATTGCCTGCAACTAGTGGTGATGTGAGTGAATTTAAGGCCAGCAAAGGTTGGTTTGAAAGATTTAAGAATCGTAGTGGCATACACAGTGTGGTAAGGCATGGTGAGGCTGCCAGTTCGGACCACAAAGCGGCTGAAAAATATGTGCATGAATTCAAGGAGTATATAGAGGCTGAAGGATTGAAACCTGAACAAGTGTTTAATTGTGACAAAACAGGCCTGTTTCGGAAGAAATTGCCAAGCAGGACCTACATTACATAACACCATCCACACACTCCCCTCCTCCCATCCCATCAATCATCACCAGATCTTCATTAAAGGTAAGTGTCAATTATTCTATTGTTATTAATCTATTGTTATTGTTGTTATTGTAATTATTCTATTGCATTAAACTTTTTTTCATACTTTTGGGTGTCTTGCACGGATTAATTTGATTTCCATTATTTCTTATGGAGAAAATTAATTCGACTTTCGATATTTTTGGCATTCGATGAGCTCTCAGGAACGGATTAATATCGAATGTTGGGGGTCCACTGTATCTCTTATTAAATTTAGTAATATATGCAGGAAAAGGGGTTACTAACTCCTTGCTCCCAGCATTTTGGTTGCCTCTTAAAACACACATGGCTTACGGAGGAAGCGTTCTGTTCCACTTCCCCATGGAGATAAGCAGAAATAAACAAGAACTAGTAAGAAAAGAGAAAAAACCCATAGGGGTGTGTATATAGCCTCACCTCACTTAGCGACTTACTCATTTACCAATGACTTGGACTTACATCGGGCTCTCTGACCAGTGTGAATACCTAAATAATGTACAGTAATACCCCGGTTTTCGTCCTTAATCCGTTCCAGAAGGTCGGCTGAAGTCCGAAATGGACGAAAACCTCTCATATAATGTAAATCCAATTAACAAAAAATACATTTTATACAAAATAACTATAGTTTTACATACAGAAAACAATGACAAATAAATAAAAATGACTAATTTTAATGATAAATAAACATTACATACCTTTATTGAATACTCTTGTTGGCATATGGAAGAAGGCAAGGAGGGGAGAGGGAGTTGAGGTTACTGTTTGGAAGGGGAATCCCCCTCCATAAGGACTTGAGGTATCAAAGCCCTATCCAGGGTTACTTCCCTTATTTGTCTTCTACTGGCACTAGGGCCAGCTTGAGAGTCACTGCACCCCTGTCACACAAAAAATCTGTCCAGAGAGACCTGTTTCTGGCATCTCTTTAAGATTTGCCAAAAATGGGACTAGACACTGTCATTGAACATGTTGCAGACACGGCTTGCAACAGTTTTGTTAGGGTGATAATTCTCCGCAAAACTCTGCACCTCACTCCACTTCGCACAAATGTCCTTAATCACTGAAGAAGGCACATTCTCCCCTCTCTCTTCCTCCTCCTCTGAAGCAATTTCCTCAGCTGAGATCTGTTGCTGTTCCAGTTAAAGGTCTTGCAGCTCTTCAGTGGGTAGCTCTTCCCTGTGTTCACTTTACTGTCAAATTTTGCTACAAGTTCTTTCTTGAATTCTATCATGTTTCTCACCTTCTTTACCAAAGAGACGGCACTCTGAACTTTCTTTGGCCCATGGTGGCCTATTTCAAAGTATTGCTAACTCAATGAGAGACAGAGGCAGACTGAGTCTGGCACGCATGAGAAGCAGCATCCCGGGCAGGTGGATGCATCTGATATAGATGATTTCCGGGCAGATGTACGAAACCCAAGGGGAAATTTCACTGAAAAAAGTGCTTGAAATCCGAATTGTACGATTTCCACACTGGATGAAAACCAGGGGTTCACTGTATATTAGAGCTGATTTCCTCTATTCTTTTTATTACAGTATACAGTAAACTAATGTACTATAAACATTTAAAAATATATTGAAAATGTTATAAATGGTGCAAAGGTGACATTAAAACAATATAAGAGATGGTTGAAACAAACCCACTACCATTACTGTATGCTCCTTGCTTAGTGACAAATTCGTTTACCGACATGGTCTTAGAAATGGAACCCTGTCGTTAAGTGAGGAGAGGCTGTATATATGCTTGTACATGCAAGTGTAGTGTGACCTAAGTGTAAGAAGTAGCAAGGCGTACCTGAAACCTTGCATGTTTACGAGACAGAAAAAAAAAGACACCAGCAATCCTTCCATCATGTAAAATAATTATAGGTTTCCATTTTACACTCACATGACAGGATAATAGTACCTCCCTGGGTGGCTGCTGTCTACCAACCTACTACCTAGGTTACTTAGATTCAGTAGAAATTGGAATTTGGAATAAGATAATAAGATTAACTTTGTATGGGAGTTGGAGGGAGGCTGGACGATGAACAGGGATAGAGTTGGATGAGCTGGTTTTGTCTGATACAGCACGAATAAGTAAACTTAGCGTAGGACTGGTGTATTGTACTTACTTCAAACTACGGTTCTTTTCTTCTTGTATTAGCTTGAGGGTGATGTAGATAGCATGGCCAAGCTGTGGTCTAAAAGCATCAGCATAAACTTCTTCTCTGACAGAATCTGAACTGTTCTGCACGAGTAGAGAGACTGATGCCAAGGCTGTCTTCTTACAATCTTCACTTATATTCCCCACTACAATAAGAAGAGAAACAGTCACAAGAAAATATACTGTGCTAAAATTAGAAATAAAAATAATAAAATATTTAATCAAATTATAATTAGGGTAGATTTAGACTCGCAAAACTGTAACAACATGATTGTAAACAATCACAGAATGGATGGCGTTTGATCTCTGTGAGTCTTAGGACTCACTTATCAGGGGTTCAAACTCCACTGATTCCATGATTTATTGTAGATGTAGATACAAAGAATAGTAAAACATCAATTGTAAATTATGCAAGTAACCTGCACTTATGAGAGGAACCTTATGATGACATTTTGCTTCATCCTGGACCACTTGTGGCATGACAATGGCTAAGGATGGACCCAAACATCATTGTAAAGTTCCCCTCCTAAGTACAGGCTATCTGTATACAGTATTGTTCCAGCCATGGTATTGTGACTATTTTTTCTTCATCAATCATAAAGCTACTAGGTTCATAGCTCAGTGGTGGTGTCCTTGGCTGACAATCAAATGACCCGAGTTTGATCTGGGGCAGATGGGGATTTTGGATATGTTTCCTTGCCCTGTTGCCCCTACTTAGCATTAAATACAGTAAACCCTCAATATAATAGACTAATAGGGGGTATCCATTACATTAGAACAAAGTTAAAATTGTAATAAAATACACTGTATACTTAATACAGTGCTTAACACAATTTATAGATATACTGCAATAAACACTGAAAATAAATAAGCTCAAAGTACAATTTGCCCAGTGGATTTTGCCCATAATTTTAAAGGGTCATTACAGTATAATCAATACAATATAATTAAAATATAACCTTATTATTGAAGATTGAGACACTTACACAACATATGGGAAACTTTATTGAAGAAACGTTTTGCCACACAGTGGCTTCATCAGTCCAGTACAAAGCAGAAGGGTATAAGGAGAGGAGTAGTTTGAGGTAATCAGTCCCTCAGCCTGGAGTCGATGTGTTCAGTCCATCACTCTTGTAGAATGTACAGCATAGGGCCATAGACATGGCTTATGCATGTATACTGTAGTCAGGTGAGGTGAAGCCTCACAAAGAATTCAACACTTGTTCAACCTTTGGACGTAGACCTACTTAGACTAGTGGATGGTACCACTATGACTCTGCCTTCTCCTGCTTCACCTCACCTGATTACAGTATATAAGCCACGTCTATGGCCCTATGCTGTACATTCTACAAGAGTGATGGACTGAACACATCGACTCCAGGCTGAGGGAGTGATTACCTCAAACTCCTCCTCTCCTTACATCTTTCTGCTTTGTATTGGGCTGATGAAGCCACTGTGTGGCAAAACATTTCTTCAATAAAGTTTCCTATATGTTGCACAAGTGTCTCAATCTTCAACTTGTCGGTTTTTTAATCATTTATTAAATCTTCTTATTAATATCTGTAATCCTCACAACCATTAAAACACTTAAGGTGTTCACATTATGTAATATGCTATATCTAGTCTTAAGTAGTGTGTCAGCATTAGTATTAGTCTGGGTAAAATGCTAAGGCCTGTTAGTGTCTTGCTTTAAACTTAACAACACACTATAAAATGTAAATCACACAAATGTATGATTTACATGTTGTAACCATAGCAAAGAAACGAAACTGTATAACTGTATAACTGCTCACCATTAAGAACATCCATATTTATTCATGTGCCTACTACATACACAGAACAATACACGCAAATATAAACCCTCCACTCAAACTTCTCACCAACCTAAACAGGACACATGACCACAACACAAGACACAGATCTCTTTTTGATATACCTCGTGTCCATATCACACTGTGTAAAAACTCTGCACATAAAGGGCCCTAAAATATGGAATTCATTACCAGAAGATATTAAAGTAACCCAGTCTGAAAATCAATTTAAAACTCTTCTCAAAAGCCACTTAATCACCCTAGACTAAATGCTAAATACTCAGTACTGTACACATTTATTCACCTATGTACTACCACATCATAACTGAAACAATCACTTTGAACCTTTTATCCACTGTTGACAGGAATATAATTGAATCATTGTTTTTCACAAAAGCATTTTAGAATATAAATACGTATATCTTTGTATTATACAAATTTTGATTCGTTTATAATTAATATTCTACTGTACAACTATGAAATAATTACTTTCCTACTGTACAACTATGATATACAACTCCTTAGTATTAAGTAGAATGTAAGCCAATAATGTTAAGTTGGCCCATAATGCCTAGGCATAATAGAGGCTCTCTTTGCAATGCAACCCACTATTATATATACACAATCTCAATGTACTGTTTGCAAAGACATTAAATAAATAAATAACTGTACATTGGGATCTATTATATTGAGGGTTTATTGTAGATACCTCGATGTTACAGTTAGATAATGCCGGTTTGCTGAAAGAAGAAGACCTTGATGTTAATCAGTTGTTGTGAGTGACATTCTGGGGCTGGTAATATGTATACCTTAGACAGGACTGGGATAACAGCATCCTTGAGTAAGATTGGACTGGATTTTGAAATGGGTTTTGAAACGAGGTTGGGTAACAGCATCCTGATAGTATACCTTAGATAGGGTTGGGACTGGAAATGAGCTAAGATAACAGCCCTTAACCTGTAAAATATTCAATGATAAAAAAAAAAAAGACGAGCGTGATACAGTACAATATTTTGAGTCTGATGTTTGTAGAAATGTAAATAATACAGATTATATTTTGTGAAAAATATTTTTTTCACCAAACTGGCAGTCTTCCACCAAGACAAGGTGACCAATAAATAGGACACATTCATCATTATTCATTCAACAGCTATCTTGTAGGAAGTGTGCACACATCACAAGTCAAACAACCTTTCAAACAACATCTCCACCCCTCCTTCAGAATGCATGCACTGTACTTCACACCTCCAGTACTCTAAGTCAGCTAACTAATTTCCATGAATCCCTTCATAAATGGTATTTTGCTCACACTCCAATAGCCTTTCAAATCCTTAAAACCAACTTCCTCTTCAATGTAACACACACATATGCACCTGCTGCATACACCTACCTCTTAAACCTCCTTCACCCTCTCCACCAACTCCTTCTTGGGATGGTCCCTACCCTTCCTTCCTTCCACCTAATTTATACAGCCTCTATCATTGTAGATAAATGGTTCAGAGAACCGAAAAGTTAATGAATTAGACATGTTCAACACTTGGGTATCTTTATTGAAGAAACGTTGAACTAATGAAGCCACTGTGTGGCGAAACATTTCTTCAATAAAGATAGCCAGGTGTTGCACATGTGTCTAATTCATCAGCCTCTATCACCATATTCTTCGCCATCCTCTTTAAATACCTAACCCTACTACATAATCCCTCCTCCTCCCACTGAATTATACCTCTTGTAACTCCCACACATTCTTTTAATTTCTACCATCAAAATTTTTTTGCATAACACTCACACCACACACTGCTCTCAAAACGACATCTCCACTGCCTCCAGCCTTCGCTTTACAATAATGTTTAAAGATCATGCCTCACACTCATTGTATCAATATACTCTGATACATTTTCCTTTGTAGCCTCTACAGAAAAATTTTCTTTCCACAGATACTTCAATATCCTGCCTACCTTTTTCCCATCATCTATTCTATGGTTTACCTCATCTTTCAAAAACTCACCTGCCAACATGTCCACTCCCAAATAGGCAAAAACAGTAAGCCCCCCTTTTTTGTGAGGGGTTATGATCCAGGAAAAATAGAGCTATAAGAGAAAATGCAATGGGCAGAGTGAACAACTTATGGGACAAAAGGGTTACATTCCAGGACACCTCAAAACAAGCCAAACAAGTTTTTTAAATTTTTCATTTATCAATATTGATAAAAAATTTTATAATGAGGAGGTAGCAATTGAATAAATTAGCAGTGTAAGATGTAATTTAATAAACCACCAGTGTAAGATACAACTTAATAAATTAGCAGTGTAAGCCTTCTTAAAAGATTGTATTATGAAAATAGATTACATAACATCAAAGGTAATATGAAAAAAATCTGGAAAACTCTATCTGAAATTCTTGGAACTAAAAAGTTATCCAAAAACAAAGCAATCAAACTAACAAAATCAGATGAACCCCTACTCACACCTACTGAAACAGTGAACAGACTCAATGTTTTCTTCTCCACCATAGGAAGAAATCTAGCGAACAAAATACCAAGCGTAAACACCCGTCCATCAGACTACCTCATAGGTACCTACCCAAATACGCTATTCCTAGCTCCAACCAACCCCACTGAAGTTACGCTCATCATAAACACCCTTAAAAACAAGGCAGGAGACATAAACAACTTGCCTGCTTTTATGTACAAAAAAGCTTCTCAAGTATTGTCACCAATTATTGCAACGCTCTTTAATAAATCCATTGAATCATCTACCTTCCCAACAATCCTCAAAATAGCGAGGGTCACTCCGATCCACAAAGGAGGTGGCCAAGCTAACTTGAACAACTATAGACCAATATCTAACTTACCACTGCTCTCTAAAATCTTTGAAAAATTAATTCATAGACAGATCTATTTCTACCTCGTCTCACACAACATATTAAACCCTTGTCAGTTTGGATTCAGGAATAATAAAAGCACAAATGATGCTATCATACACATGCTAGAACTAATATATACTGCACTCGAAAAGAAAAGTCCTGCAGGGTATTTTCATTGATTTACGTAAAGCTTTCGATACAGTCGACCATGAACTGCTGTACTCCAAATTAATGCAGTATAGTATCAGAGGCCACTCCCTCAACTACCTAAAATCATACCTTAGTAACAGAACTCAATATGTGTATGCAAATGATCCAAACTCTTCCACCCAACCAATCACAGTAGGAGTCCCACAAGGAAGCGTCCTTGGACCACTCCTCTTTCTCATCTACATCAATGATCTACCGAATGCATCACAGCTACTTAAACCCATATTACAGTGGACCCTCACCTAACAAACACATCGCATAAC